CGGTCCAGTCCGCCTTACTGCCAACATTGCCCGGGGGCTTCACTAACAGTACATCACCTGCTCGACGAATGCCACCATTTCACAGGAATCAGGACGTCTCTCGAGAACGTTACAAAAATATCAAAATATCTGGATAAATGCGGTCTAAAACATTTAATATGACATCCTACCTAGCTTAGATAAGAACTTTGCATGTATATAGATTTTATGAAGATTTTAAATATATAAAGCGTGGACAATAGAACTTAATTTTAGTCACCTAGCTTTAGGTTCACCAGCGAGCCGAAGGTCCTGGCAGCCAGTGCTCCTTTTTAAAAAAAAAAAATAATTGTATAATTTTTTTTCACATTTATAAATAAATAAATAAATAAGAGTTTTCAAATAAATTTGTTGAATATTACAGAACTAATAATCTTCTGCTGGCTAAACATCCGGACGGTACAAGCATAGCGGGTTTCTTTTTGGTAATAGGGTAAATTTCATATTAGTACGAACATATATTGTATTTAATGCTGATAATAGTTGAAGCTATTTACTTAGACAGTTTTGAACAGCGATTCTTCTTATCATAAGGGTTAAATCCACTACTCCTATTAGAAGGAAAAACGTTTTCTGTGTACTATTGTCTAAATTACTTTACTATTAAAAAGATTTCGAGTATATTTCTGGAACTTTTACGAATATATACAATAATGAAATGTATTACACTTCCGTTAGACAAACGCGCGTGTAAGAAATATAAAACTATAAATTTCATATCAACAAAAGTATAAAAAGGCATATGTATATGCATATATATAGACGGGAAAATCCAATTTATATATATGTATGCCATATATACAATATATCCATATTCATACATATTAATGAATTTATATAAATAGGATATTCCATTCTATAATCACATTGCTCGATAAACATTCTTCGATGTCGGTTGTGCTTACTTGCAAATACGGTGTTAATAAAGTAATTAATTAAGGTCAAAATGGATTTGAGACAATATTTTATTTTAATGTTGTGCTTTGCGGGCGTCTTACCGAAGTCTATTAATATTTCCAATCGCGGTGAGTCATTCTGCAGGAAGAATATGACCTTTTTCTTCAGCAACTATTATTATTTCTAAATTGCAGATGAGAGTGAGAAGCAACCCTTCTTAGAGATCGGTAGTAAATATTACCTAATAAATACTGCTACTACGGTAATTTACTTAGAAGTTTCACAATTGAAATTATATAATTTAAGTCTCTTAATTACAGATGAATTGGTTCAATGCGGCGCTTTATTGTCGCAACTACGATATGGATTTGGCCGTAATTGAATCGGCAGCTGAGATGAATGCACTGAATTCCTATTTAACCACGAATGAAGGTCTCGTTAGCCTTTATTTCTGGCTTGGTGTCAGCGATTTGGCGGAGGAAGGTAAATTTATGTCACTCAAAGATGGACGTCCAATGCTCTATGCTAAATGGTCAGGCGGTCAACCAGACAATGCTGGTCAAAATGAGGATTGTGTACATCTTTGGCCAGTTAATAATATATTCTATATGAATGATAACAATTGCATGAGTTATTTTCATATCATCTGTGAGTTGCGGCAATCGAAGAAGACTTGTGACGTGTGTGATTTGAAAATTTTTATGGAAAGATGCATGCAACATACAAATGTTCCAAACTGTCGAAATTAGTTAGGTGGAAGTATCAGTTTTATTAATAAAATCGTTGCTTCATAATGATACCCTGTTTTAAATATTTTTGTTGTTGATAGTGTCAAGAGAGTGAGTAAGATTCGATGCCAAATTAAATATTGCTATATTACCTCCAACTGTCTAAAGAGATGCTACAGTATGCGAAGAAATTTTTCATATTGGAAACCGACTAATTAAGCTCTTTAATAGAAACATTTTATTTTTTTATATACTTCGGTTACATCATTTTTATATTCTTATATGACATGTTACCAAAGTGTATAATAGTTTTGTTCACTAAGCAAGATAGATTTAGGGCYATATATACATATAAAACTGATCAGGATGAGGAGTCGAGTTAAGATCCGGGTGACTGTGTGTCTGTCCGTCCGTCATTTGTAACTTGAGTAAAAATTAAGATATCTTGATGAAACGTAGGCATAATCGGAGCAATGTCACGCCCACAAAACGCCATAACTACGCATTAAAATAAGATATAAAACTGTAATAATGTACAGAGGATCAAAGTAGCAAGTGGGTATGGAAATTGAGTGAAAGTTGTGGCAACACCCACTTTTTGGTGAAATCACATATCTCAGGATCCCATCGACCGATTGTTACTAAATTTAGTTCGTGACACTATCTTCATATGCCTATGTCGCAGTGAGAAAATCGGCGAAATCGGGCTTCTCATATAACACACTTTTAAACTCCATTTGATTCTTTCACCTTGCTTTAGCCCTCATATAACTAAAATCAGTATTATCAAACATTCAGCTAACTTTACGCCCTAAATTTTGGTGATGGTATRTGAGGTACTTTAAGGAAACATTGTTCCTATTAGTTAAATGGTACTGCCGAAAATAGATAAAATCGAGCCAAAACGACCCCTGCCTACTACTTACATATATACCTAATACAAGACAAACTTCTCGTTGGCATTAGTCCGTATATATCGGTCAATATGTAGGTGATCTTAACAAAATTAACTAAACGTATAATATACTACTATAATACTTTATTTTGATGTCGAGACTGTCTGAAATTATTTATATTAATGATTTTCCTTACTCTAAAAAACCAATGTTTGAGTTTAGAATCTCTGAAATTGCTTGAAAATTTGTTCTCGAGTATATYTGAGCAATGTTRAGGATTAATGCAGCATTTCGAAATTTCCAGAACGGAAGCGATATTGTATTTTAACCCATAACTGTGTGCCCGTAGATCCCAAAGTATAATACTTTGGTGAATTTATGTGAAAGTTTATATACATAGGTCATGGAAATTGCTCTAGCGAAATTTCAAGTTTGTAACTTTCCGCATGCCTGACATATGCAATGGGCTATAAAGTACCCAATGGGCTAATTTAGAGTTTTACGTGCATCTGTAATTTAATATTTGTAGGAACCTGTTGGTCGGTATTTCGTCAAGTGTCGATCACAACCAACTGTGTTTCGAAGTTTGTACATAAGTACATATGTAGATGTGTGCAAGTGAAATTGCTATTGTGAAATAGTGCGGGTATTGACATTGTGTAATAAATATAATAGGTATATAATATATATGTGTGTACATATTATATGTACATGTATATAATATATGTATCAAAAAAAATCATCAAATACATATATRGAGAGCGAAAATTTTTAACATGGCAGGAACTGCAATCGAAAGTAGACAGACATAGACAAAATTAATATTGTCCTTATGCCATCAGTGATAATGAAGATTCGGACGAAAATGTCCAAATAATGAACGATAGCGATGAGTTTCAATGAGAAGTAGCAGGCAACTTTGAAGTAGAGTACCATTTTAACAATGATCATCGTACTTTAAATGAAAATCTTGAATACGGTGGAGACATTAGTTTGACCATTGATGGTGAAGTTGATGTGAATGCTGAAATTTAACCATCGAAATGGCGTCGTAACAAAAATTACAAATTTGAGAATCAACCTATTGCGAATAATGCAATTGAGAATGCTTGTGGGAATGCTTAATGGATAATGAGATGCTTCAGCTAATTGTAAACAACACAATTTTAGTATGCTTCATAAAATGCTTATGGTTTCTATATCAATTCAAGAGATGTGAACTTTTATTAGCATACTTTATATGACTGGCTATCACATGTTGTCGCATTTACATTCATAGCCCATCCGATTTGGATATATGTAAATATTGATGTTTGATATCTTCCGAAGGCTACTCTTATTGATTTATTCCATATGCTAGATCAWCATCTAATTACGATAAAAATCATAGTTTTGAGAAAATGTTGTTCCAAAATTGCTATCGCATCTAAAACCTGCAAACAACTATGTGGCACACTGAAAAACTCAGTTCGATTGCAGAAAATGTGATGTAATGCTTTATCCAAAACAATGCTTTTTTGAATTTCGTTATGGGCTGCCACGAATTGAAGGCAAATAAAGCAGAACCAATAAACTTATAAACAAGTTTTGGTTAGTTTTAATATGAATTAACAATAAAACGATTAAAAACAACTACATATGTTTAAAACAAAAAATAAATTTCTATTTCACTAATTTTTTCAGCAYATAATACACCCATCTGTCTAATGGGTATTTCAGTACCCAACTGAGTATATTCGGTTCCTGGATCTTAAGGAGCTAAGAATAATTTTTTTTGTTTTTGTTTGTTCAGAAAATCCTYTACAAAACCGGTTATGATTTAATTTACCGGTATTTCTTATTTTCTAGTTTGATGGAAAGCTATGAATATACATTTTATGATTTGTGAAAATGCTCTTACTTTGACATTGAAAGTGAGCACCTATTAATTGAAATTTTGTCCTTCCTTATAACGAGTGTATATTGCTTCACATTTTTTCTATAATTTAGAAAAAAATATAATAATTTTCTACAACAACTTCCGAGATATCATTCTTCGTATAAGCACTGTTACGTGGGTATTTAAATACGCATCGGGCAGAAATGGGTAAATTTTATGCTTTGCGGCCGTCTTACCCAAGTCTATTAATATTTCCTATCGCGGTGAAACATTCCAAAGAAGAATATGAACTTTTTCCCCTACAACTATAATTATTTCTAAATTGTAGGTGAGAATGAGACACAACCCTTCATAGAGATCGGTGGCAAACATCACCCAATAAAATCTGCTGCTGAGGTAATTTACTTCAAAAATTCATTTTTCTTTTAAATAATATTTCCCATATAAATGATGGGAATTCYATGGCTCAGCATTATGCCATCTGTSAGTTGCGGCTTTCGAAGAAGACTTGCGACGTGTGTGATTTGAAAAATTTTATGGAAAGATGTGTATGTATGTATGTACATGCCACATACAAATGTTCCTGAATGTCGAAACTAGTCTGGTGGAAGTACTAGTTTTATTAATAAACCCGTTTTTTCATAACGATAAATTTTTAAAATATTTTATAGAGTGCAAATATCAATGAGTAAGATTCGATGCAAAATCCATATTACGTTCCAATGAAAGAGAAAAAATTTAGGTATAATAATAATTAATGCTGATAATAGTCGAAGCTATTTACTTTTAAAACATTTATTTATTAATAAACAGGACGACTGTTTTTTAAAATCTAAATTATTTTGCTGAAATAGACCGTGGCGGTAAAGTTGCTGAGACCTTTGCAGCCCGCSAATTCATGTGAAATTTACATATGTATGTATGTATCTATATCGGCAAGCGAGCCATCATAAACTATAATTCCGTCGAATTTGATCAGCACGCGCATTACTTCAGGAATCGTGCGGACACTCAATTTCTGTAGAATTTTGATCTGCTCACTCATTCTTGYGGGAATTGCAGAATTTTTTGTAAAATTGCGAAATTTAGAAATTTAGTGTAACATAGATCTATATTCGTATATAAATTGGGTATTCCAGTCTATGATCACATTGTTCGATGAACATTTTTCGGTGTCGGATGTGCTTGCTTGCAAATACGGTATTAATGAAGTACATAAATAATCAGCGAYAAAATGGGTTTGACACAATATTTTATTTTAATTTGGTGCTTTGCGCGGGTATTACCCCAGTCTATTAATAYTTCCAACCGCGGTGAGTTATTCTTGAGGAAGAATAGTATGAATTTTTACTTTTTCATTGCAACTCTTTCTAAATTGTAGGTGAGAGTGAGAAACAACCCTTCATACAGATCGGTAGTAAATATTACCTAATAAACACTGCTACTACGGTAATTTACTTTAAAGTTTCTACATTAAAATTATATAATTCAGGTCTCTTAATTACAGATGAATTGGTTCGGTGCGATGCTTTACTGTCGCAACTATGATAGTGATTTGGCCGTAATCGAATCGGAAGCTGAGATGAATGCACTGAATTCCTATTTAACCACGAATGAAGGTCACACTGGCCTTCATTTCTGGCTTGGTGTCACCGATTTGGCCGTGGAAGGTAAATTTATGTCAATTAAAGACGGACGTCTCATGCTCTATGCTAAATGGTCAGGCGGTCAACCAGATAATACTGGTAAAATCGAGGATTGTGTTCATCTTTGGCTCGTTAATAACATTTTCCATATGAATGATAACAATTGCATGGCTCAACTTCATGCCATCTGTGAGTTGCGACAATCGAAGAAGACTTGTGACGTGTGTGATTTGAAATTTATGGAAAGATTCATGCTACGTACAAATGTTCCACACTGTCAAAACTAGTTAGGTGGAACTACCAGTTTTATTAATAAAATCGTTATTTCATAACAATGCCTTCTTTTAAATATTTCATAACGTTAGGTGTCTCGGAATGCTTCAAGAGAGTAAATATCAATGAGCAAGATTCGATGCAAAATTGAGGATTGGCTATGCTACCTCCAAATGTCAAATCAACATAATTATTAGTGTTTAGTATACACACAGTGCGTTCGGCGATTTTTACGATGAGTGAAATTGTTCAAAGAAGTTCCTTTAAGTTTTGCGTGCGGAGTCAAATTTCTGTTGTCGAAACGTTCAGAAGATTGGAAAAGGCTTTCGGTGATAATATTTTTTCTCGAACAAGTGTTTTTGATTGATACAAATTATTCAAGGAGCGTAAAGAATGACGATTTACGTCAATAAAATAAAGAAATTGGCGCTTGAGAATCGACGATTAATAGTCGGAAATCTTTCGAGCATCGTTGGAGCATTGGAATGATCAGCGAAAACATTTTTAAAAGATCATTTGGGGCTAAGAAAAGCAGATTGATTCTAAAATCACACAATTTTTAACATCTGATAATCTGACATCTGTGAAGCAATGCTTTCCGACTACCAGGATGCCATGAGAGGTATTATTATTGGCAATGAATCTTAGGTATATAAGAGCTAAGGAAAGTACTGACCTGATTCAACTCACTTTTTACATACAGACATACAATTATTAGGAAAAGATTATCCCTGAATTTCAAACATATCCTTCACTCATTGACTGATATAGTCGGTAAAGATAAAACATACATCGTTCATTTTAAGCTTGGAGAAATTCAACAAAAGTCACACCAACAACGCCATTTATCAACAACTCTTTGCTGAGTCTACAACTTCTCTTCTCCCTGAATGGACTCTAATCTTCACGGACGGATCTAAAACCGAGAAAAGTACATCATTCGCAGTTGACAACAATTAAAGTTGGAAACCTGCAAAGCTACGCCTCCGTTTACACAGCAGACAGCCTCCGTTTATTTGTACAGATAGCAAATCAACTATATCAGCGGTCTTAAATGTTATGAATAAATCTAACATCATTTCTTGCATCCGGAGCAAATTAGCTGAAAACAGCGCCAATATAAAACTAATGTGGATTCCAGGCCATGCCGGCATACGCGGAAATGAACTGGCAGATAAACGCGCTAAACTAGCGGCTAGTGAACCGCTCGTTACGTTTGACTTTCTTGAAAATAAAGACTTACATAAGATGGCACGCCAATACCAACTTAAATCGCAAATGGAGAGTTGGAGACACATCCAGCACCAATACACTTTAAATAACCCAGATAGGAGMAAACYWACCTATCCACCAAACTGTCGATGTAACGATGTTAAATCATTTGTCCGCCTACGTTTAGGGCACACAATAGTCACACATTCGTACTTCTTCAATCGGTCCAGT